TCTGGTGTGTGCTTGGTCGTCTCGGGCCTGCGGCCGCACTTGCGACGCTTCGTTCATCTGACGCACTGGTTCCCGCTGCGACCTCGCGCACAGCGGATGCTCGCACCCCTCCCCCTTGACCCCCTTGACTGATCCCGCGCAGAGTCTCGGAGCGAGGCTTGCGAGAAGCCTCGAGTCTGAGCATGCCCGAAGCATCGCAAGAAGCGTCCGGGCCCACCTTCTCCATCGGTGGGCAGGGCGAGTCAGCGGGCCCCCCTCTTCATCAAAACCTTCTCCACTTCGGTCAATTCGTTACCCGCGTAGTCGACGTTCTGGAACTCCCAGTCGCGACGCGGATCCAGCGCGACGCCCCAAGTGGTCTCGATCTCCGAATCCTCCTCCACTGTCTCCAGCTCGACTGACGAGAGATGCAAAGCTGCCTGTCTGGTGTTTCTCGGGGATCTTCTGACCCGGGTCAATCCAGACCCGGGTCAGCAGGAAACCAAAAACTGCAATGCAGGAAAAAAAACTGCAACGCATGTCTTCGCAAACCCGGGTCAGCCAATATGCGCGGCCGCCTCGCGGCCACGAGCGGCTCCCAAACCCGGGTCAGCCAGAGGGGGTCTTCGCAGGATCCTGCGGGATCTTGCGCCCTGGCTGACCCCCGTTTGCATTGACCCCCGTCTCAAGGCTCCCGAGTTTCGCCGGGCTCTCGCGAGGATGCCGGCCACTCGCCTCTCCTGGGCCCAGGCTGGGCCCATGGCGCGGGCGGCCGGCTGCGTGGAACTGGCTTTCAGCGCGGCCGCTCTCTACGCCAGAAAGAGTGTCTGAATGGAGAGCGGCTGCGGGGGGGAGCCGCTCAACCTGACTCGTCAGACCCCATGAAATAATCCCGCGGACCCCAGACTCGCAGGATAAATAAAGGAGACTGGCTGAGGTAGCGGGCTGCCCGGCGCGCGGCGGCCCTGCGCCAGCGCGCCCCCGCTCGCCAGGTAGAAGTCCGCGTGGCCAACCCAATGGTCTGGCACGCGAGTCTGCTTGCGATCCTCTCTCCACTCGTGCTGGTAATAGTGCTCGACCCAGGTGCCATCCTCATGTCGGAACTTGCAGCGCGTGACTCGGGCGGTGCCCATCTGCTATGGATTTGCCGGCATCCCCCCAGACGCCGCCAGGTCAACCAAACCTCGACGAGGACGGACGCGATGCAGACGAATCCGGTCTTCTAACACCTCCCGGAAGTCCCCCGAGTCGTCTGATGTCGTCGGCCGGCCCCCTTCCTTGGCGAAGCTGGGAAATCTGGCGGCCAGAGAGTCGTCCAACTTGAATTCCTGCGCCAGCGCGCCGAGCAGACCGATAGATCGACGTCCGAGGGTAGTCTCGCCATCTGAGCCCCCCGAGAGCTCTGACCCAAACGAATCGCGTTGCTCTTCGCATCAATGGCCGCCGCTAGGAAATCCTGAAAGCTCTTGCGAGTCGAGAGAGGAGCCAGGGCCTTGACCGCTGGCCAAATCTTTCCCCCCACGCCATTCGCGCAAGGAAAACCTACCTCATGCGCGACGTGAATCAAGTGCCCCTGGTCGGCGAGGGCCCTCTGCGTGGCCCCCAGGTCTGGCTCGCCGACGAGGGCCTGAGATGCCGCCGTGTCCACCGGAACTTGATCTTCCATGCCCCGTAAAATTGATCGCGCTGAAACCCATGGAATCCCATGACATCCCATCTAGAAAAGAATCCCAGGATGGAGCGGGCGTTCCGGGGGGGGGGGGGGGGGGGGAAACAAAAAAGAACAAAAACGAATTTGAGCGCCCGAAATGGGCGCGGAAAGAATGGGTACAATGCCCAACGGCAGATCCTGTCCCAAACCGACAGCGGCCACTGTTGGGCAGGAGGCTTCTGTCTCGAATGGGCGCAGGCCGCGGCGACACCGACAGCGAGTCCTGTTCAAAATGAACTGGGCCTGCTTTTGGTCATTGCATACAATCTTTCCGCGCCCATCTCGGGCGTCCAGAGAGAAAAAGAAACTCTCGGGTGCAGGCGTGCTTGGCCGTCCCGCGGTTCGCTCAGACTTCGACCCGTCCTCCTTGAAACGACGCGGCTTCTTGCAGTCCTCCCTCCCGCGCCCCTTTTCACCACAAGTCGTGCATCTCGTTCTCTTCTTCAGGTCTGACTTTGAATTCCTTCGGAATCCGGCTGGGTTCGACGAGGAGGCCCTTTCCGGTCGAAGAAGTCTCTGTCGACTTTTCTAGCTGCTTTCAACTGCCGGGCCTCATTCCAGGACCGTCGCTTGGCATCGGCCATCTCGGCGAAGACTCAAAAACCCTCATCCTCGTGAACGTCCTGAGCCTGAAGAGACGTGAGAAAGGTAGCACCTTCCTTTGTAGTAAACTCAGTATCGTAGATGTCTGGCTCTTCCTCGTCTGACTCATGAGTCTCCTCGACGAGTGCGAAACTCTTCTGATTAGATCCTGCCGAAACCTTAGGCAATATGCTTTTGTCCGTCACGTCGAGCTGCGATCGTGCCCTGCACGCCGCCGGACACGATGAGCCCCCAACCAACAGCGTCCTCAGGTGAAACTTCATCTGCCCCGAAAGCTGTGACCCTTCCTCGTGAAATCGAACTTACACATCATCTGGCAAACTCAAACCAACCGTCTCCATCTGAGCGATCTGAGTCCCTTCGCAGCACGAACTCCGTGAGAGTCTTTCCGCGCCTGATGCCGCAATCGAATAGTGCAGCGTTGTGGGCTTCTCTCTCTCTCTCTCGATCTCCAGGACGTTCTCCGTTCAGAGGACTCAGACGACAGATCAGGATCCCTCGACTGCGTTGTCCTGGTCTCCTCGGACACCGCGAAACTTCCCCTGTAACTCAATCGGGTAGCCTTCCAGACTTTTCGATGCCTGAGTCTCCGGAGGAGGTCCGGTTTCCTTTGTCCAGGAGGTCAAGTTGTGTAGATATACTTCAGGATGGTCAAGTCCTAAAAGCGGCGGCTGTCTGGAGAAATCCCTGCTCGTTTCTGGTGTCGGCTTGCAGGCTGCATCCCAGTCCGACGAACGGTTCCAGTCCTGAGCCCAGGACCACGACTCTGACCACCACCAGTTTCGATCCTGCCAGCTGGGTTCACTCCAGTCGTTCGGGTAGTTTTCTTCTCCCTGGCTGGCTCCTGCACCTGTCTCCTGATATCCTGGTTGATATCCCTCTTCTACTATCGCCGTGAACGTGCCTGGTGTTGTCGCCGAGACGTTCCCTTCTCGATACATTGCCTGCCCCTGCTGGTGGCCCACACTCCGGCTACCATTGAAATCGGTGGCCACAATGAGGGTGGACATGTTTCTTTGCAACGGAGCGCCCCAACGAGCATGAATCACCTGTGCCCGCCCATGGCTGGCCTAAGGCCTAAAAGGCTACAACAGGCACGTAGACGGGGGAGAGAAGAGAACAGAGAGGACAAGTGGCGACAATTTCGAAATTCGCAGTCCCCCAAAGATGGCGATGTCAAGTATGAATCTACGTATGACGCCACTCCGCTGGACCTCCCAACGGTCCTCCAACATGGCGACAATTTCGCAGATCGCAGCCCCCAAGGGATGGCTAGGTCAAACTTAAGTCAACGTGTGTCGTCAATATTCTGGACCCCCTACCAGCCCTCGAAAGCGGCGAAATTTTCGCGGTTCACGGCCCCCCTAGGAATGGCAAGGTCTAGGGTGAGTCAGCGTGGGACGTCGCTCCGCTGGACCCCGCCAGCAGCCTTCGGAAATGGCGCCAATTTTGGAGATCGCAGCCCACCAGGGATTGCAAGGTCACTCCGCCCCACAGAGATGGTTAGGTCTGATTTAAGTCCGCGTGGGGCGTCACTCCGCTGGACCTCCCAGCAACCCTCGAAAGTGGCGGCAGTTTCGCAGATCGCAGCCTCCAAGGGATAGCGAGGTCCAAATTAGGTCTGCGTCGGACGACACTCTGCTGGGCCCCCTAGCAGCCCTCGAACGTGGCGGCAATTTTGCAAACAGCACTTCCCCCCGGATGGCGAGCTCTAATTTAGGACCGCGTGGGACGGCGCTCCGCTGGACTTCCCAGCAGCTCCCGAAAGTGGCGACAATTTAGCAGGTCGCAGCCCCCCAAAGATGGCAAGGTCTGATCTAGGTCCGCGTGGGACGTCACTCCGCCGAATCCCCTAGCAGCTCCCGAAGGTGGTGACTTCTCCGCTGATCGCAGCCCCGCAGGGATGCCGAGGTAACGTGGAACGGCGAGGCAAGAGGCGGGCTGGCAGGCAGGTACAAGTAAGGTAAGATATAGGAGAGGAGAGGATGCGCAGGTAGGAGGCGGGGAGAAAAGGAGGGAGGCGGGAGGCGGGAGGAGACGCGACCGCAATGCTCCATTCAAAACCATATCCCAACGCAGGACTGTGACGGAAAAACACCAAACAATCGTTTGTGCGATACGCGTCGTGAAGGGAGCATGCTCGCGGCTGGAAAAAGCAAATGGGGACGAATGTGGCAAACTATCTATGATCTCCGAAATTGGAAATTGGGAACCCCGTCAAAATGGAGGTTGGGAATTCCGTCACAGTGGAAGTGGCCAGGGTCGGAAACATCAGCGAGGCCTGCGACGAGCACGGAGAAGTTGGGATGAGGCTGCCAGGGCTGGAGAAGCAAAGGAAGACTGACCAGGGGTGGAAAGAGCGGAAGGGCTGGCCCCAGCCTCGTTTGTCCAGCCTCCGTGCACTCGGGAGCGGCCAAGACAGGGGTGTCCAAGAGGGGGGGGTGCACATCATGACCGGCAGCATGTGCGCGGCCCAGCGGGGGGACCAGGGACGTAATGAAACAAGAAGAGGCGCCGTAAAATCTGAGGAAAAATCATGGCCCGCGCCATGAAATCTCCCCCCCCCCTAGTCATCACCCTCCTCTTTACCGCCCCCGATGCACGCATCCGCGAGAAGCCCTTCAGTGCCAACGCTGATTGGGGAGCGATCGACAGCGTCCGAAAGCCGCGGCCGCCAGCACGCGGCCGGAGGCGCCGAGCCGCCCGCCCTGGATGCCGGCCCACTGGAAGGCTTTCGGCGCCAGGTCTTTCGGGGGCTCGGGCCCGGGGTCCTCCCCCGCACCGCGGGCTGGCAGGCGCGGCGGGGACAAAGGGCAGGTGGGCAAATGCTAGCGGGGCATACCAGGGATCGGCCTAAGCAATGCTTCTGGTCTTCGGTCTTGCTCCGTTTGCCCTCGTATTGTCTTCGTTCCGCCTTCGCTGCAAGACGAAAGGAAAACGAACATGGTCCACGAAATCGCCAAAACGAACATGGTCACGAACGATACCGCTACTCCCAGGCCCTCTGCTGGGGTGCGTTCTGACTCGGATTTCGAGGCGAATCCAGCGGTGGCGACGAGGGCTGCCCAAGAGGCTCACAAAGGGGAAAACGGCCGAATGGTAGCAGGATGGGTACCTTTGCCTTCTCCGAAGAAAAAAAAACGCTGTTTGGGTCGAGCCCTGGGGCATACTCCCTGCCATCCGGCGAGCTTACGCGAGTAGGGACGCGCGAGGAGCCAGGGGAGGGCAGACCCCCCCCTGGCGCCAGAGGGCGCACAGGTCTGCGCCATCGCGAGGTGGGGGAGGAGCAGAGGACGAGGAGGGAGGAGAGGGAGAGCTGGGTGGCAACTCGACCATCTCGTCGGCTCTTGCGAATCGACGCTAGTCGACGCTAAATATACGCCACATTGGCGCTATATCTCATCGACTCCCAGACGCTAGTCGGCGCTAGCCGACGCCAAGGACGGAATCGCGAGGGGGCACAAGGCTCCTGCGACCTGCTCCCGAAGGAGAAGGGAACGGGAGGGCTGAGGAGCAGAGGGAGAGGACGAGGGAGGGCGCCTGCTCGGAGACCCCGCCCTCGGAACTGCCTGAGGGTGCCTCGATTTGACACGCGTCACTCGTCCGAATTCGGCTGTCCTCCGCTCTCCGCCTGCGACCCTCCATCCTCCACCCTCCACCTGCGGCCCGCCATGGTCCACCCTTCACACGTCTAGATCCCAGCAGACCTATGGGCGCAGGTGGTCTAGGGCGCTTCGTCTTCCGACCCCCTTCGCTTATAGCTCAGGGAGGAGAGCGAGCAGGTCCAGCACCGTCCTGATCCTTGGTGCGCTCCCGTCGCAACCGCCCGCGGGAACGCTGGCGCCGTCCCGGAAACTCCGCGCTGCTGGCTCCTTGGAGTATTCGTCCTCGACGGTGGCGTTGGCGAGCCCTGGGCGCACCTGGTCGGCAACGTCTGGGGCGCCGTAGCCCCCGTGCCCTGATGCGTCCTTTTGGTTGGGTTCGCGGGGTAACCCTTCCTGGAGTCGCGGTCCAGGATGCGGTCCAAGGTGCCTGGCGCGACGTTCCATATGTTGACGAGGCACCTCCTGCAGCTCCATGCAGCGTTCCATTTTCGCTCCTGCCCGGCGGTCAGCCACTGGTCCCATGGGGGGAGCCCTGTACTGACGTCGATGCTGGTGCCAGGCGCTGGCTTCCACAGGAAGCAACCAAAAGGCGGGATGCGAGACCTTGCGCGCGAAGAACAGAGAATCCGGTGGGCACGTGTCGCACTTAGCCGAGTAGGCGCCGGACTTGTGAGCGTCGCCACCGAGTCTTCCGTCTTTGATCCTCCAGGCTGGCCAGGTCGAGTTGGCCAGGGCGGGGCAGCGGTGGTTCGCTGCGACCATGAAGGTCCTGTAGGGAGCCAGGATCACCGGCGCACGGGCTTCTACCGTATCCGAGTGGGAGGTGTGCAAGGGAGGGACGTGCTACCGCCTTCCTCTGCTCCCTGTCCTCCGCTAGGCCTCTGTTGTAGTCTTGGACGCGCTGCGCCACGTCGGCACCCAGCGGGGCGTGGACCCCTCGTCTCTCCACGCTGGCGACCCAGCAGCCCTCGCAGAGCCACCTGCAGTTCTCACCGGAGAGGTACGCCAGTGGTCGGTTCTGCGCCAAGAGTTTCCTAGTCTCGTCGTCTTCCCAAGTCCCATCGGTTGACTTGAGGTGACTCTTGTTGCAATCCACAAATGAACCCTGCATCTTTCTGCTGCCCATGCAATCGGCCGTCCTCGATGACCGGGGGGACCGGCTGCGCGCCAGGAGCTGAGGTGGCAGGCATGGGAGCCCCCGGGTCCTTCTTCGAGAGGGCTGCGCCTCCGCAGATGTATCCCAGGGCGGAATTGTCGCCCGGATCTCCTAGCCCAGTGTCTGAGACAGCCAGCTCGCGGTGGAGGGCGCAGATGGCGCACTTGGCGTTGGCCAGGGCCTTGATGATCGCTGCGGGGGCGATCTGCTCCAGGACAAACATCGGTGCAGCCAGCTTGAAGTCGCGTTCCTCCATGTCCTTCCAGGTCTGTGGGCAGCGGGCCTCTTTTGCTGCGCCATGGTGGCGCGCGACGGTGACCAGCCTGGAGGCGCGGAGGAGTGCGTCCTCGATCCGCCCGCGTAGCACGACCAGGTCGCCCAGAGGGAGCCCCCACGTCTCAGCGAACATCTGAAGGAAGTCCAGGTGAGCGTCTGGCCAGGAAACGCAGATGCCTAGCACCACTTCGATCGCATCTCCTGTGCCCTCAGCGTGGGGAAACGGCCATCAGGACACCCTCGGCTCTCTGATCATGAATATCGTGATTACCGGGAGAGACTGGGCTTCGGCGGAGTCCATGGGCAGCCCTCATCTGCCATGGCGCTTCTGAGGGGCTGGCCTGGCGGGGCCGCCTGCAGGAGGTGCGCCGGGGTGTCCATGCCAGGGTGCTGGCGACGTCTGCAGCGCTCGCGAGTCTCCTTGCCCCAGGCTTTCGAGACCTGCCACAGCATGTCCTTGGGCGTGCACTGCCGGTTTGTCCAGGGTCGGTAGCTGCGCCCGCGGCGGGCTCGGAGCGGGACGGGCAGGGGCACGTCTCTGATGATGAGGTCGAGATCCGACCAGGCGGCGCCCAGCCCTACAACCCAGACAAGGCACGCCCAGAGCATGTTGTAGAGAAGGTCGCTTGTATTCAGACCACGGGACATGTCGTGGAGAAAGCCGAGGTGCGAGAAGGCCTCACGGTCGCATCTCCCTGGTTTCCTCGGCGCGTCGGCGATGGGGAACTCGTGGGGGTGCAGTCCTGAGACGAGGTAGAGCACGACTGAGATGGCCGGAGTGGCCAGAGGAGTGTCTAGGCTCTCGGAGATGCACGTGCCATGCGCGTCCCAATTGAAGCCAGGCTCGAGTAAGGTCTCGATTCTGTCAGCAGCAAGGCTGTTGGCCAGGGCATAACGGGTCTTCTTGATGGCGCTGTCCAAGTGTATCCTGGAATTGTCCCCGTCTGCGTGGCCCTCCCAGGAGACTGGTGCAGTGACCCAGGTATCCAAATTCGCGACGGGGTCACGGCTGGTGTCGACGGCCAGGTCGGTAAGCATGCCTGCCCGCCGCGGATCGTTGAACCGCGCCCAGAGGCCAGCCAAGCGTCCATCCTCGGATAGCACTCTCAGCTTCGACCACGCGGCGGAGGCGAACATCCTGCCGTCACCGATGATTACGCCGAAACGCGTGGCCCTTGCAATGGCGGCATTCACCCTGTTCGCGTTGTCCATGAAACCCCTGGTGTGTTTTCCGTTCCACCTTGTGGTGCGGAAGATCACGATGTCTGCCTCTCCTCCCTGGCTGGAGTCGATCGAGGATGGCACGAGGCTGCCAGACTTGAGGGTTCGGCCGCAACCTGCTGCAGGCCAGGGATGCTGGAGCTGAGGCCGGCGAGCGTGGAGTCAGCCCTTATCGAACGCCCTCTCCCGCCCCGAGCGGTCCACGAATCTCTCTCCATTCGCTCCGCCCTTCTGCCCTGCCAGGTTGGGCACGGGGGCTGGGGAGCGGCTTCTGTCCCTCAGCCCTGCTATTTCCTCTGTCGCCGCCGCCGCCCTTGCCCCCTTTGGACTGCCGGAGCACGCCAGTGATGTTGCCGAGGCTCTGCGGCCACCCGCCCTCCAGGATGGCCGTTTGCAGCTGGTTACCTATCGCCAGGCGGACGTTGACCCCGCCTTCCATCGCAGGCGCGAGCGCTCTGACTACATCCACTGCTTGTGCCGCCTCTAAGAGATTGACGTATCCGGCGTGGATGCTGGAAATGAACTCGATCGACGGGTTGTCTGCCAGAAGGAATATGTGCCTCTCGCCCGCTTCAGCGCCTGCTGGGTGCAGGGGTTCCAGGGTCCTCCGGAGGTCTCACTTGTCAAAGCGGTTGACGCGCGCCAGCTTGTCTAGCTTGTCCTCGCCCCACGCCAGGATCCGTCGCTAGGGGAGGCCATTGACTAACGGTCGATCTGTCAGGGGAGAAGCCAGGCTGCTGCGCATGCATCCGGTAGCAAACCGTGAGCTGGACGACCGCTGAATCCTGCCCCCGCAAGGCGTGGCGCAGCCTGTCGAAGATGGAGATGCAGAGGCCCTGGTCTGCGGCGATCTTGGAGATCACCGGGGGCGGCTGCTGCTTGGGGTCGCCTACCAGGGCGGGGTGGCTGCCGCTCCTGATGACGCTAGCCAGGGACATCGTAACGTGGAGCTCTGTCGTTTGACCAGCCTCGTAGACGATGAGCAAGGCAATATTTGCCGCGCTGGTTTGTCCCAGGGCCTCGGCTGCCTCGCGTGTGGCCACGGCCTTGGCATCCTCCTGCAGGCCTCGCCGAAATGGCGGAAGGTCCGGGGAGGCCGCTCCATCCTGGCAAGGAAACGCGCCCATGGCGTTGATGTAGTGTCCGCCAGGGGTCAGGTCCACCAGGGAAGAGGCGACGCGATTCTCCCTAGGCAGGCGAGCAAAATGGCTTGGAAAGCATGCGTCTCGATCAAGGTGACCCTGTCGGTGGGCGGCCACTAGCGCGTGGACGGGCTTGTCGGCTGCAGCGTTGGAGCCCGCCGTGCCGTGGGTGCCACTGTCTGGCCCCGCATCAGTGTGCCCGCCCAGGTGTCAAGCGCACCCACCGAGAACTTGGTCTTTCTGTTGTCAGGAGGACCATGCACGATGGTGACGTGATACTGCAAGGTAGCTTGCAAGGTTCGGATAGCGCTCACTTTGAGGCCATGTCTGCAGGCGCCTCCATCCAGGGTGTCTTGGGAGAGTGCATCTGGCCTGCTGGAAGACCTGTCGGATGGAGTTCTGCACCTCGTCGTCGGCGAAGCTGGGCATGTTGATGGGGCTGGGGTGGCTGCGCTGAGGCTGACCCGGCCTCCTGCATGACAACGAGGTCGGCGTCTGGAACTGGGAGCTCCAGGGTCGCGGCGGCCCTTGCCCGCTGGTAGTGCCCAAGCCTGCCATTTCTCGCCCCGTCATTTGCCAGGGTTTTGTCCTTGGGGGCGGTGCAAGAGCTGAGCAGGAAGGTGATGATTGCCAGGGGGGCCGAACATCCCGTCAGGGTCCTGGTTGAGCATGTAGATCTTGCTGGGCGCTGAGGACACTCGCCATTTCTGGACCTCCCAGGCGGCTTTGTCAACCCTGTACCTAGGAACGCCCGGCTCTTCTGGGATGGTGGGGCGGGAGGAGTCGGCGTGGAAAGGGCCCGTGTCCTATGTCGCGACGCAGCGGTTGCCAGGATACCTCGTGCCCGGTGCCAGCCCCAGGCTGACGCA